CACACACACACACACAGAAATCCAGGAAAGAACAAAAAGAGGGTAGGATTGTGGTAGATGGTCAGTGGTTCATGTCTCAACAGTGATTGTCAAGTGTGAAACAGCGAGCACCTTTCACACAGCGATAAACACATGACTGCTGCACACACAACAAATGGGCAAGGAAGAAAAGGATACAGCAGAGACAGAAAACAAGAACATCTCTGTTTACTAGAGGGGAGGAGTAAGATCTGTGGGATATATTTAACTGTCAGCAGTGCTGGAGCGCAGTTGCTTTTCTTTCAGGTCTCAGAGTCTCTGCTGTGGATATTGTGAAACAGGTAAGAGGGGGTGAAGGGGCTAAAGATGGAAGGAGGGAAGAGTTTGAAAGGAACAGCTTCTGTCGTGTTAGAGGGATTTGAAAGAGGAGCAGGGGCTGCCAGACGGGCCCTCCAGTGAACTCTCTCCACCACACACAACCTACTTCCTGTCTCTCTGTGTTTCACCGAAGCATGATTTTGTCAGACGCAGACTCAGATAAACACACGTACACATAGGCAACACAAATAAACAGAAATACAGAAAAAACACACATATATACAGATCACCTGTTGCTCTTGGCGTACAGCCAACCTGAAGCTGTACAGGAAATGAGCACACGGGNNNCACTCTCTCTTGCTCTCTCTCTCTCCACAGTGTGTTTAAGTTCAGAAAATATCGTACTGCAGTGTGATTTCAAAACTGAACAATTAGACATAAGTTTATTCATAAAGGGAAAAGGGGTACATTTTCATAAGAAAGGATTGCTAAGATTAACAGGCCATCTAATAATCTGTGTGTGTGTGTGTGCGTTTGAGTGTGTGTGAGTTGACGGTAGTGAAGAGGAGAGGCAGGATTAACAGTGGAAACAGTCTGAGCTCAGACATCTAGCAGATGAGGCGGATGTTTACATTCTGACTTCATCCACCAAGTGACTCCATGATTATGATATAATTTGGGAAGGTCTGAGTACAAAGGCTTCTAAAACAAAGAACGAACGACGACTCATTACTCATAATAAATTAATTCATTTTATATGCAACAACTGCTTCTCCGCTGCTGCTGTCGACGTCACTATATGAGATGTGCTACTGATTCAGTCCTCACAGAAACACACAGGGTTTTTTTAAGGATCCCTGTGATCAGAATTCAGAGTGAAAATAATAATGTAATAATGAAATTTAAGCATTAAAATCTACACAAACGAGTTAAAATAAAGAACAACTGCTGACTAATCAGCTACCGACAGAAAACTAACCAACTATTTCAATAATCTATTTACTGTTTAAGTCATTTATCAAGAAAATACTGCCAAACATTTACTGATTTCAGCTTTGCCAATGTGAGAATTTTCTGCTTTTCTCTTTTTTATATCACACATTTTTCACAAATTTCTGACATACTAAACAATGAGTCAAAAAGATAACAGGGTTAATTAACAATTAAAATGATTAGTCGCAGCCCTAAATGCAAGCATCAATTGCAAGTTTTACCGTGTTGTTCTTGTCATGTCCTTGTTCATAAAAAAACCCTCATAGCTTGTCATGTTTTAACTGCAGCTGAAGGATTTTCATGCCTCTCTGTGGGCAGAGAAGATTTCAGCACTGCTGGTCTATTCTACTTACGTAGCTCCTGAAAGATGTGTGTTTAGTTGCTATTTATACCAGCAGGCTTACTGTATGTGTAAATCCATAGTATCACAAGATCACTTCTGCTTACACTTGTTTCAACTGGCAGGTTTAAACCAGCAAAATCAACAATGTCCAACCAGAGACGGACTGGTTCACACTTAATGTATTCTTATGTGTAATTAATAGCTGTAATTAATAGCTTTCTCAATTAATGACACAAAAATGTGACAAAACAAGTACATAAAAAGTTATGAATAGGGTGTATTTATTGGCCTAAACAATATATCTTTATGTCTCATCTCTGGCTATCTGAATCCTAGTTGTGTTGTGAGAAGTACTTTGTTGTATGTTCTCATGTAAGCCCAGTGGCAAACTCACACTGCCTTGAACCCTGTGTCACCACCACGTCACGGCTGTGTGAATGTGTCTGTTTGTGTCTCCAAAAGCAGCAGAGAGAAATAGGAAGTACAGCTGAGAACGATTTCAAACAGAGTTGACCTCTGTTTAGTTCCTTTGTTTCCCCTTTTTTCCCCATCTCTTTATCCGCTGCTCTGCGCAAGCATGACACAAAGAGAAACAGCAAGGGAGGTTGTGTATGTGTGTCACCTGTAACAGGGGTTTCCCACAATGAAAGCACAATACATGTTTTTTTTAACTTCTCATAGGAAACAAGGTCATGACAACGAGCTGGTTCAACACAGCAACAGAGCTACATGTTCTCAAACTGACCTGCAGTAATAGTGGATTTATCAAGAAAACAGGAAAGGGAGTGTGTGTGACTGTGTGTGTGCGCACTGGAAGACTGCCCACTGGGCATTCCTGTACCTGTCCGAGGACACTACACCTCCCCTCCCTCCACCTGCTCTGCTCCGTGGCCCCCAGGTCTTTGGGGACCAGCCAGACTTCAGCAGAGACAACCCTTCCAAAACAAGCCCCTAAACCCAAACACACACACCTACACACACACACACACACATACACCTTCTCTCCCTCTCTGCTCTTTCTCTCTCCAACTGTCTTCCTCTCTTTCACTCGTACTCTCCCACAATAGCCTATCCACCCGTCCCCAGGGAAACACATAAATATGGAGGAGGCTGCCCAAGAAGCACATGACACACACACAGACACACACTCTGTCTTTCTATCTCACTCTCTCCTTTCACTCATTTATTTATATATGGATACCTGGATTGGAAGCTGCAGGCACTCCCATCCTCCGCCCTTACACTTCTCTTCTCTAACGCTCTCTGGATGACTGCTTGTGTAAATGTGGCTACTAAATTACATAAAGCAGTTCTTTCTACACTCACATTGCACCCGTTTAAATGAAAAGAAAAGAAATACAGCGACACGACGGACTGATATATTTCAAAGAAGTGCCGTCAGCTTCTGTTGCAGTGCAGATGTCCACAGAGCGCATGTGTTGTGTCAATACAGAATGCACATTCTTCCTCTATGTGGCCAAATCGGCGTGTAACTCAAGAAGACTACAGACTGCTTTGTTTTTCACAGACAAACATGCAAGTCTGTGTTCCTGTTGACAATGGCTGACCTCCTTCTGGAACCAGCTGTTCTGTCCACTGTGCAGAAACAGAAACACGTGCATGCACACAGTACAAACACACACACTGGAGGATTAATACTTACAGACGTGCACGCATACTTTTTCACATACACAGCGCGCACACAGGAGCACAGTTTTCCACACAGCACAGTCTGCACTTTGCACACAGAGAAGTGAGTGTGTGGGCAGGCCCTGGCAGGGTATCGCTAAGCCTGGCTGGTGATTTCTCTCCATAGTGAAAGCTTGGGCAGTGAAAGGTTGGATCCTGCCAACCCCTGTTCTCCCCTGACCACCCGGTGCCCACGTGTGGCACTCAGGGGCACGCCTGTCCCTTTCAATAACCTGCATCGAAACCTGAGTCCTCCAGTGAGTGTCTGTGTCTGTGTGAGTGTGAGAGTGTGTCTTGCCTGAAACACGGCAACCTCTAGTTGTACCACTAAACAAGCACAGCCAGAGAACTAGTTTCTACCACAATGTGTTGCACAGTGCTACCACAACAACTCCTTTAGTTTCGTTACTGTAGATGTTCACACAGGTAGAAGTACACAAACAATACAATACAGTGTCTTGCACACAATGTCAGCTAGGTAAAGTGGACTGTTACCACCAAAACACAGGCAGCTGGGACTGGGCTACCGTCAGCCTCAGCCTTGTTAATGTTGCTTCATCATTAGCAGGATTCTCACAGAGTCTTGGAATACTTTCCTTACAGTTAGTCTAAATAAAAGTCCTATGGGCATTAACTTGAGTCTGGCCAGGCGGCTAGTTATGACTGTTCTGGTTTTACGGGCAGCAGGGGGAGGAGGGCAGGGGCAAGCCAAGTGTTTCTCTGTGTCTTATTTCCTGTTTCTGATCAGGATACTGGTAAGCTGTCATCCACTGGAGAGGGAAGTCTTTTCATTCAACACAGATGGACTGGCACCACAGGAGTTGCGATGTCTATAGGCCGAACAGGGCATAAAGTATGTCTGAGCCATATGCAGTCAGGCATATAGATGCACACACCCACGCAGGTACATCCAAATGTGCAAGAGCAGTTACAAAATCACACAGATATGCACAACACTAGGTTTTTCACTTGGTTTATAGATAAATAATGCTCTCATCCAGGGTGACTAACAATGAGCAATGTTAGGGAAAACATTTTAAATCCCTGTACTCTGAACTCTGTAATGCCATGTGAGAGCTCTGATGTTTCAGCTTAATGTGCGTTGTACTTTTTCAATTTGTACAGTTTATACAAACTTTCTAAAACTTTGATGTTGTTAATTTTTATAATCCCTCCTCAAATGGCCATTCCTTCTTTAAATTTGGAATGTTCTTTATATTTGAAGCTTGATGAACTGGCTAATGGCAGGGGGGAAAGTGACTATTAGCATTGCACCCATGTAGCAGTTCTTTCTACATTGCGCACTACACTCACCCAGTGTATACATTTTGTACTTTTTATTTTATAACAATTTATTTTATTGTATTTTATTTTATTCTCTTTCTATACTCTTTGCACTACATTCCCATGTACTTCTGTGCCAATTTGAATTTCCCCTACAGGGCATCAATGAAGGATCCCTTTTATCTATCTTGTCTTATAGTGATGTGCCTATACATGTATTCTAAGATGTTAGAATATTTTTCTCAAAAAATGCCCTCTATTATTAAAGTGTTTCAAATAGAAGTGACTATTTATGCTGCCTTCATGTTTCACTTCTATATGGCTGGTGTAACTACAAGGTGCGATAAAGCATTTATTTGAATAAACATGAAATCAGTGTTGGGTAGTAACTGATTGCATGTAATCGGGATTATATAATCAGATCAGATATATTAAAAATTCACTCTACCAATATATATAATAATTACAAAAAATGTCATGTAATTTGTATGCAGTAACTGATCACATTTCAAAGTAATCTGACCCAACACTGATTGTAATGCAACTATTCACTCTTTGGGTGAAGGAAATCTAGTTTAAGACAAAATACCGTTCTAACTCTAAGAATACTATAACAAGCTGAAACTCCCATATCACTAAATTTAACAGCAGAAAACAGTGAAGAGTGTAAGGGTCAAAACCATCCCTCCCAAACACCTTCCTGTGACATGACAACACAGAAATAACAGCTTAAGACTGAGATACAAGGATTTCTTTAGAGCCATAAGGGCCAATAGGGGAGAAACAAATCCATTTAGAGAGTCACATTTCCCACACACACATGCACAGATCATGATACTCACTCTTGTACGGCGCGGGCTATAGACAGCGCAGTGGAGCCAGTCTCATTAACACTGTCCAAGGTCACGTTTGGCAGGTCGTCGTCATCGCTGTCACTTTTGATCTGCCTTGGCGACAGGCCGTTGGGGTCTGTGTGTGCTGCGAGGACGGGACACAGACAAGGGAGTCAGTGGGAACATTTGTGCATTTGTTGTTAAGTGTGTGTGTGTGTGTGTGTGTGTGTGTGAATACTGATCACAGTATATGTCCAAGTTAAAAGTATGTGTGCATGTATGAGGGCCACTCTGCTGAGCAATCTCAGTTCTTCTGCATGTGCAACTGACAGAGAATCATATTCATGGTAATGATAAACTTTCACATAAAAGGCCTGAAGACAACTCAAAAGTCTAAATCCATCCATTCGCTGCCGCATTCTCTTCACAGAACATCCTGATAATTAGCAAGCTAGCTTTGTCCCGTCTTTGATTCTTCCCTTTTGCACAGTAGCCAAGAAAAAACACGTCGAACATTTTACTGGCCAGCATACTGGCCCTCTGAGCCAATGAGCACAGGGGTCTGTGCCTTTTGAGCTGCATGACAAAGTAACATCTATTCCACAAGTTGTGACAACTTCTCCCCTGAACAACTCATTGGATATATTGCCAGAGCCTGCAGCCATTCTGTCATCTCTGTCTCCATGGACACTGGCTGCGTACATCCTGGATAGCTCAAGAGATGCATGTAAAAAAATAAAAAACCTGCCAGAGAATGCTTGTCATAGAAAAGTTGCAGGAAATCCACTCAATTAAACTCTGATTAGGTTATATAGTAATTTAGAAAAAAATGCAAAAGAAATGCAAGTATACACAATTTGGGAACTGCGTGGCTAACAATAACTATTCTTGATTCTGACGATGTAATCCTCGCAAACACGAAATATATTGTGATACACTTTCCACTGAGTTCTGCAACATCCCCAGTTACTGTTAGCCTGGTGCTTTTATAAGCTATCAGGACTTCACCCCCTCTGCCCTCTCAGCCGAGACTGTGGCCATAATGGCCCATAATAAGGGTCTACAGTTAGGAACAGACATGGTGTTATTACTGGGGGGTGGGGGGGCAGAAATAATACTGTAAGTCTGGCTGAGCCTTCGCTTTTAAAGGTTTCTAACTGTTGACGTAGACTAAGACATGCAGAGTGGTCACCAGCTCGCCTACCCTATGGAAAACCTGTAATTAGTTCGAAATGCATCGTGTGTCGGAGAGGGGTATTTTGAGCGAGGGACACAAAGGAGGAGTGGTGGAGAGGTGGGCAGAGCACCGGATTTCTTTCTTTCTCTCCTGTTGTTTCCAGTCAAGCCCTGTTTCCATGGCAACCTCCTGCCGGAGACAGGGAGACAGCAGTGAAAGGAAGGGTACCCGCCCTCTCTTAGAGAGGATGGCCAACCTGTGTGTGTGTGTGTGTGTGTGTGTGTGTGTGCATGAGGGTGAGTGGAAGTGTGTGTGCAGTGCAAGTGTTTTTGAATCTATGTTGAAAGCTTCAGTATGACTGAGACTTGCATCATTGCACATGGTTGTTGGGTTTGTATCAAGTCAGGCAAGGTAGATGCAGGCTCTTGACCCTCACATTAAACTTTATACGGGGGGAATGGGCTTTAGTTTAATGACTCCCCTGATGTTGACAACTTATTTTTCCGGCCATCAACCAATAATGACACTCAGAAGGGAAAACTCAGAAATGTGACATCTTGTAGCACTTATTTCATGTGACTTTGACTGTGGGAATTTGTATGTAAATCTTCTCATTACCGGTAACTCACATAAAGTGCAAGCAATAGTTAAGTGTTCTGTTTGTCTACTGGTTGCTATCTCATTAAAAGTGACTGTATCCACTCCACCCAACATTCAGCACTCATTCACCCCATTTCCTTTGTGCTTGGTGCCTTCGGAGCTGGGCAGAGCTGATGTTGGACTGATGTGTATATGTGTGCGTGCATGATCTTCAATATCCATCCACACCCTCTTATGCAAGTCTTGTTTTCCTGTCCTTCCTCCTTTCCTCTCCTCTCCTTGGGAGCAGACATCCAGAGTTTAAAACGCCCATCTCTAAGGGGATCACCCCACCCAGCCGGACAAGTGTCTGTCTGAGCACATGCTCTAATTACACATCTCTGTTTGTTTGCTTGTACGTACAGTACAGTACATGCACTGCTGTGAGTTAAGTGTGTCTGTCCATCCTGCAGGGAGTGACAAGAAGCAACCTCTTTTACAACCAACAAGTTGCCCTGTGTACGCCTCAGAGCTGGACAAAAACACCTACTGTAGGCTCACTCCTAGTGGTTGGCAGTAAAACCACACCCAGAGAGAAAGCCAATTACACAGTCTAGGCCAGGCAGGCAGAGTATAGTACTCAAAACTGACCCAGATATCTGCTTTTTGATAGAAAGAAAAGGTAACAACAGGTGTGGCCCTGTTTACCTGCACCAGAGGCTATTTAAGACCGCCAAGCAAAATCTCTGTCAGTTAAAGACGGGAGAGCCTTTCAACTTGTTAACCTCGTCTTCACTCTGAACATTATCACCTGAGGGGCTGTCTCTCAAAGAACGTACACACAAACTCAGCTTTCACAGCGTTGTGTCTGCAAGTTCTTTGACTGAAGACAGTAGGACATGTGGGCAGATAAATATACCTTAATAAACAGCTTGTCATTGGGATATCTCAAGCCATATCACATACTGCAGGTATCGCAGCTACTTCTTTATTGCCGGATTGCTGTCTTTGTCATCCCTTGTTTTCTGAGTCAGATAACAGCGTAATCATAAACTGACCATTTTTCAGGTTTCCTATGGAAATATTTGACTTTTCATTATTTTGAGATGGTCGACAACTGACAATGCAAAATATTCAACCCAATTGATTTAGGTTAATACTTTTCATAAGATAATTGATTTATAGTTTTTCAGTAGCTTCTGTTCCTATGTCAAACTAATATAATCATGAAGCAGCAGCATCGTTACAATGCATCAGCAGTTGCTTTACAATTCCATCAATGCTGAAATAACTGCTGCAGCTGCTTTGAAATTACAGTGTTTCTAACTCGGATTGATGAAAGAAGTTCAATATAATATCCCACAAGTCAGCCGAGTCAGCCATATGAATATGGAGTAAATTCGGGTAGCATGTTCTCACCTTTGCCCTGTTTTTTGACCTCATCCAGCAGAGGTAGCATGATGGCGTTGTTGAGGCTGGAGGGTGATCGAACGGCAGTGGTGTACATGAGAGGCAGTGACTGTACCACAACCGGGATGCGGTGAACATGGCTGGCCAGCTTCCCTGCTCCCTGCAGGCTCAGAGGGCTGGATGGAGGCGGCGGCACAGAGTGCAGGATGTGCAAATACGGCTGACCTCTCACCCCGCTTCCAGGGGCAACCAGAGGGCCTGGCGAGAGCACCGATGAGGCTGAGGTGATAACCGATGGAGAGGAGGAGGAGGAGGAGGAGGAAGATGACGACGATAAAGAAGACGGGGAGAAAGCAGATCTGAGAGGGGAGGATGATGAGGTGGTGGTAGGGGTGGTGGATGAAGAGAAAGGGCGGGGTTTGTTGATTGACAGGTCGACAGGCTCGGTCTGTGTGTGGAAGTGCAGGTCTTGGGCGAGCAGGTCTTCTGGAGGTTCGTCTTTAACTCTGGTGAGGAAGAAGGGGACACCGTCCATCGCAGAATAAGGGCGCACTTTAGGTGACTGTGGGAGTGAAAGAAGAATGGATGTTAGATTTTTTTATCCACTGATTAATTTTTTATCATTTTAATGCCTTGGAAATGCACTGTGCTGCCACACATAAACAGGGAAGAAAGAAATAATAAAAATACAATCTGTATACAATTAATCTATTTATGGCCAGAAAGTGATACGTTAATGAATTCAGGACGATGATTGTTTTTGTGGCGGTATTTAGCTCCAGGAATACGGCATGATAGAGATATGTCATAAACATACATGCAGCGACATTTATTGAGAGAGGAGCAGTTCATTTTCTCATGTTCATTCAAGCATTCAACTCCTCCCGTGAGCATGATGTCATACGCAGATGAAACGCAGAGGAGTAAAGATAGCGTCTCTCTCACTCGCCTCCTTTCGCTTTCCTCTCTCTCTCTCTTTTTTGTCTTGGCGTGGGTTGCTCTCTCACTCTTTTCCTCCTGTTTTCCATCACTCCCACAGAATCGTAGCTCTCTTGGCTCCCCCTTGTATCTCTCCTAAATCTCCTTTGTGACGGTGGAAAAACATCATATGGGCTCAATTTCCTGACCGTCTCTCTCTGTCTCTCAGCGATGGGCCTCCTAAGGCCAACGCTGGTGGCTCAGTGTATCCCTCAACACATCTTTCACTTAACACCAAGCAGACTGTAACACAACCACTCCATCTGTCCGCACAAGTTTCAGGAACCTGTTTACTTGGAAAAGATAATGAAGAACATACACAGTTGAAAAACGACACTCACCCTGCTACTAGCTATTTGTTTCCTCTGGACTCCCATACTTCGGACCTTCTTTGATAACGCAATTTTTGTTATAATGTCAAATGAGCCACGTTACATGTGATGTAGCAGATCTAGACTATGTTCAATGTGGGAGGGGTGCTAGAGTGTGTGGTGAGCAGTGTTGATCCTTACAGTGGAGCCTTTCAGAGGCTGAGTCACAGTTAGGGCCATCAGGGAGTGAGCACATCCAGGATTTTTACTAATCGTACAGGAAAATCTCATTAAAGTTAAGGGAAAAACACAAACTCGCACCCCAATCGCAGCTGCAGCAGATATGAAAAATGCTCTGCCCCATGGATTTTCATCCTCGCTTTTGTTTTTGAGACTCACATTTCTTTCCCCTTATGTAATGCTGGCTGAGAGTGGGTCTGTGGTGAATTACGAATTTTTCTGAGTAGTGTGTGTTTGTGTGTGTGTGAGTGTGTGTTCTTTTATGTAGTAGCCTTACTATTTTTACTCCAGACTTGTATACTTGTTTTCGGCCTACAGGAAATGTTACGACCCCATGAATCAAATGTGCTTCTCCCTGTGTAACTCCTCCTCAGTTGGAAAACAAACCCTAACCCCATGAAAAATGCCATCTGATGACCTCTGGACCCTGGTGGGGTTCAGCTCAGGTTCAGTGGTGTCAGGTCAAGGTTCATGGCACATTATGGTCATCCCACCCACAAAGTATTTTTAGTGGGGTTTTTACACAATTTTAGGTATGTAATTAGAATTTTGGCATTTTCTGAAAAAAAAAAAAGTTTATTTTTGTTCAGCATGCCTCCTTCGTGGAAACTCTTTCTAGTCGTATAGCTCAGTCAGACGCACTTCCCTCAAGGGATTGACCATGCATAGCAAATAGTTATAAAGTTACATTTGTCAGAAAGGTCACTGCTCTTTGAGGGAGCTATCAGAAAATCCACAATGAGAATTCTGCTGGGGGAACTAACACCCCTAATAAAGACATTACATACAGAACTATCAGATAGCAAGGTCAAAAGCTTCAACACAACAGGAGGAGGCTGCAGCAGAAAATGGCATTGGCACGAGGGTCTTGAGAATGAGAGGTGTCAGGGTTTTAATGGCTATGCTGTACACCTTTAAGAATATGATTGGATCTTAGGAGTCAGCTGGTAGCCGCACAGCTAATGAATGAGCCACTGATGGTAAAGCATGAATGAAGCAGCTGATGGAAGTCAGCTGATGCTTTATTGCTCTGCCTCTATTGATCAGAGCTCCATTTTTGAGTTGCAAATGCCCACTGTAGAGTTGTTTTGTCCACTCATAAAGCTGAGTCATGTCCCTGCGGTGACTGTTAAGTTATAACTCTGCTGGGTGGAGACTCATATAAACACGATCATGTGACGCTTAATTGTGCTCACTATTAGTCTTACAACATCCATATGCTCAAAATTCATAGCAACAGATTTCCTTTCAGTTAATCAGAGTCACTGTTGACCAGAGTTGGTGACACTTTACTTTAAGTCCCCCTCTGTAACATTTATAAGAGGTTAACAAACATTTAATAATGGTTTATGATGTAGTTGTGCCCTGCTATAAAGACAGTTAAGTACTTAATAATATACCCTAGTTATTAAGAATTATAACTTCTCCTACGAAGGCATATTCTATGTTATTGCAGCAGTGTTTTATTATTTATTCATTACTTTATTTTCATGCATTATCCTGGGGGCTTCCACTTATGGTTGCCTACATGAGGAAGAGTTCACAAACACATTAACACTGATACCTGCTCACTGTTATTTATTAGTGTATTATCATAAACCATTCATGAAATGTTTATGTAGTGTTTATTAATGCTAATCAGGGGGACTTAAAATAAAGTGCTGCTTCAGAGTCTATAGTGTTGTTTCTTTTAACCAAAAGATCCTTTCCTCTGGCTATCTAAATTTTGTATTTGATTTGGTTCCTGGCTGTATCTAATTATCCATCTTTAGTTGCTGCTGCACAGCTTTATCTTGAAAAACATTTCAAAAGAAATATAATTTAATTGACAATATGTACGTTTGTGATGTCAAATTCCTGTGCTTCTCTTGCATCAACTCCTACATCAACCCAACGTAGCCTTTCCTGACAGACCCTCAGGGTATAATCCAGCTGCTTTTGCACGTGACATCTCTGTTTGCATGTTCTGTATAGGGTGTGAGTGTCACGGACTGCCTGGAGCTATACTGCCCAAAGGCTTTGAAGTCATTAGACCCATTGAGGCTGATCTCAGTGTTTTGGAAATCTTGTCTTTCTCAGTAAGGGCTCTTAGAGTGTGTCTAGTTGGCTACTAAAGTTCTGCAGTATTGCCAGTTCTCCCTGCAACTGAAAGAAGACAGAATTTAAAGAGGAAGCTTAAGAAAATATATATGTGCCAACCACAAGTGTAATCTGAAAGCCGCTCAATAATATTTTATGGTTCAACAACAGATATGTTGTTCCAGTTCCAAACACTGATTGTCTGTGCCATATAAGCTATCGTGGCAAATATATACACACCTGCATGTAATTGAATTCTGAATTAAAGCCAGTGGCCAATATTCACTTATTGCAGATGTATCAGTATTAATGTATGTGTTAAATAATGAGCAATATCAAATATCTATAGGAGATCAAACACATGAATTGGTACAGTTCTAATCAATATTATGACACCTGAGGTATTATCACACATCAAAAATTAATGAATCATGTGCCTCGCTGTCTATGTAACTTCCGCTGAACAGCAGCTACTTTGACCACAAGAGATAAACAAAATAATAGCACGTCTTACAGATGTTATCATCAGACAACCTGACTGACTTAGTCTAGCACAAAACATCAAACATTACCTTGAGTAATGCAGTGTTGCCCTTGTGATAAAAATCACTGACATGTTCTGCTATGATTTAAATAAACAGAGCAAATGCAGCACAAGAGGACTCCTAAGTTAGCAGCTAACATTAGCTAACTATAGCCACTGATGATACCTATTAAAGCTATCGTGTTTTAATCAAACGTTTAGCCATGATTCAAATGTGGGACAAACAATAATGACTTGATCTGTAATTGTCCGCTCAATTGAATTCAAAATTCACCGTTTTGTACTCCAGGTTCTCTCTAACCCATTGCTTGTCCTGTTGCCCCATCAGTATACGAGGTTATGGTTGGTAAAAGTTACTAAACAGTTAATCATGACACCAAAATGATTAATATGCAGCAGGAGTAATATGAGGAAGAGTTTGGGATTCAACACAGATGTCAAAATCAAGAACGGGGGGATGGCTGTTTGCTACTGTAAAAGGCAGTTGCCCTACAGTAATGTCAGCTTGTCAATTAAGTGAAGCAGCGGGCCACTGCAAATCACCGGAACAACGCCAATTTTCCATTTCAGCTCAATTCAGTCCATTTCAGTAATATGGGTTGTGTTCAAATGAATCTGAACAAATTACGTGTTCGCTTGAATTCATTTGAACTTTGACAAAGTGACAGGCGACCAAGAATGTTGTGGCAAAGCACCTGAGTGAACTCAATTGAAGATGGGTGATTAATTTGTATAAAAAAAATATGAGTGTGTGATGATGACAGTCATGATGATGACAGTCAGTTGCTGATAACCTGGTAAGCCGGTGTGGCCTCCATGTAAAAAAGGGGAACACATATACACTTGTGTGGAAAGGTCAAAAAGGAGTGTTTAGTGATACACCAAAGTGAAAACAGAAAGGTTATTTGCATTTTGGGGTTAGGTTCTCAGATTAAATCTAAACTAGCACAAATGGAAAACTTAAGCCACCCCCACTTTCATTTTGACAGATACAAACACATGTACGCGCTCAAACCTACACATACTCACACACACTGACACACATATAAAGATATGCTCGACCCGCCTGCCTGCCTCTGTCCACATGCCATTGTCTTTATTAGGGGATACTGGTTAGCAGGGCAGATTTTCCAGCCCCTTGCGGGCGAATTGTCTAACGAGGCAGACCATTTCCAGCAAGCCCTTGGCCCCCCGCCACCCAAATGAAGACCACATTTCTGCAGCAGCCTAAACTGTCTGTCTGCCGTCTAAAGGGAAGCACAGTCTGTTAGGGTGAGATTGGATCTCAGTGCACTTCAAAGCCGTGTGGGCTGCGGTGCTCACATCCTGTCTGTGACTGACATCACTACATGTATGGAGAATGACTTCAAACCTCGGGTTTTAGGTAGGTACGCAGGAGCACAGCTCTCAAACCCTTGAGCCACAGCTGAGCGCAGGACACCCAGAAACTAACCACCTGCTGCCTCTTTGTCAAGTCCTTAGATGTGCAGTGACAGATCCAATTCTTATCAATACAAAGCACCTACACACCAAACAATTCTCTACAAGACTTGAGGTAACCTGATGAGTTATTATCAGCAGCCGCTATTTTTCTCATCCATCATGGGCTAATGCTCTCGGGTTCGTCTCAACAAAAACTATTTTGCTCTTCTCCCACAAAGTGCTCATGGTGATATATTAGGGGGCAAGATATTATAGATATGTTATGAATGGAAATCAATAATAACTGAACACTAATTCATCATGATTACAAATATTAAGTGGCCTGCACCCGCTGCACACACAGCTGTGGCAGCAACACAAAGCCCTTGTAACCTAGCAACAGCTTCTCCATAACAAGACCACTTTATTTCTAGGTATGTTGGACCAGAGAGCACTGATACTGTATGTGGGCCATGAAAGCCCTGCATGAGGTAAGTCCATTATTCCTAACATGGTCAATATACACGGTCTAATTGAACATAATACTGAAAAATGAGATTGAATGGTGCAATGTAGCCTTTTAAATAAAAACAAACTCATCAAAGACAAAAATATATAACAATTAAAGCTCACCATTCCTAGAGAGACAGCTAACTTCGTCTCTGTGATAAATTCATATTGAGGGATGGAAACAAAAAGGTGACAGAGCACACTGCGAGAGTAGAGGCACTAGAGGAAGAGATGGAGCTGTGACAGTGTTTGAAGAGGAAGAGTACAGTGTGTTGTATTTGTGTATTTGCGTATGTGTGCAAGACAGAGAGGTTATTCACGTGTGACAGAAAAGGGTATGGGAGGAGGATGAAGGGAAATTGAGAGACGTAAAGGGGCCAGAACAGACAGAGATAGATAAGATTTAAAGTTTCCCATGTGACCCTCCTCCCCGGAGCAACGACTACATCTGCGCAATCACCCTCAGCCAGCCCACAGTCTCTGTTGGCCCCAGTCACCTCCCCGAAACACCCCAATGCATTCCTGCTCCAGCTGTGACTCTCCTCCTCCTCTTGGTTCTTCTCCTCTTCCTGCTTACTACCATGCTCTTCGACCACTCCTCCGAGCCCCCACACTCACTCACTCTCTCACTCACTTGCTTAGGCCTGGGAGTGATTATCGGGCCCGTTGCTGGGAGGAGGGAAGACGGAAAGGAAAGCAGAGGAAAAAAAGGGAATTGTCTGGAAAACAACTGCTCTCTTACCCCTTGTTCCGATTCCAGGGGCTCAGCTTTGACTCGGACTGCAGGCATTCCGTCAAGCATTAACATCCTGTTTCTTAGGCTGCCTGTGAAGGGATACAGAGGAGGTGTAAGACGGGTGTTTTAGCATGACTAAGCAGGTCCCACACTCAGTTATTCACACATGCACATCTACAATGTTGTGCACCCACTGAGAAATAAACACATTTTAAATAGACACGGATTCATGTTTCAAAACCATCAGAAGCTGACAGACAAAAGATGCACACAAACTGTGTAAACTCAGTCAGTGCACAGCATGACTCTCTCGGCTCCATAATAAAGATTTTCAATTGCCTGGTGGGCTGCTGCAGGGCTAATAACACTTCATAACGCAGAATAAAATCCTCTTAACACTTCAATGGAATACAAACACTTGCTTTGATATGCAGTTACTTAACAGCAATGACAACCAGACAATATTTCCTCTCTAACCACTGATATAATAAAACAATTATTGATGTTTGGAAATGAAAAAGTGAAAATTTGATATGCTTCACACTTCTTAAGATATTATTTTACACTCATGATGAGCACAACATTTACACTCATGATGAGCACAACATTTACACACATGCAAACACACACAAAAACACACTTAGTACATCTATACATTCACCCTTCCCTCTATTGCCTCTGAGCACTTTGCCTCTGCAAAGAGGGCAGCAGTTCCCCGGCTCCTCAGCTCCGCGCTGTGGCTTTAAGAGGGATACTCAGATGGAGCCAATGACAACAATGCATGTTCCGTATTCCTCAGCTGGGGCCGACCTGAGGTAACCCTCCCTCTTATTATTTTAGCAGCAGTACATGGAGGAATGCAAGCACGGCAAATAGACTCTAAACATCTCTATTACTCTCCACTGCTGGCACCAGCAGCAGGATGTGTGGCCCAATCCTTGCAATAAGCAGCGCCGCGGCCATCATGACCACTCTGGTGCGGAGGGAAAAAAAGCTCAGCCAATCATGAATGACATATACCCTTTCTCTGCAGCTGCTTCCCTGATCATTTAACTATGCTGACCATCTCAGATGTAACACCACATCCCGATTTGCTTTCACTCACCAGAAAATCCACTGAAGATTCAAAAACATTTCTTTTTACAGATTTCAATAAAAGAAATTGCCACACAAAACTCATTTAATGCCACGTATTGTTCCACTACCTCTTAGATTCTCAAGCGAGAGGCTAATCCTGACTATGTTTGTGTGTGAGGAAGGTAGAGAAAGAGGGAGGATTTACTCTCTCAATCTGCAACCCCCCAGATCTCGCCTCTCAGGTCTAAGTCCCTCAGGTACCCTGGCTGTGCTGCTATTGTATTGTTGTCCAGGATGTCCTTCGGCTTCAGGTCTTGGTAGGCCCAGATAGCGTTGCCATAGTAACGGCTGGGCGGGTGGAGCTGCAGCCTCAGTCCAGCCTCAAGCCATGTGTTAAAGAGAAAAAGAGAGAGGAGTGCACCAAGAGAGGCAGAAAGTGAGGTTTGTTTTCCTCAAGATGACCATCAGTCCAGCATTCAGGCATTTTCTGAAAATCTTTTTCAGAAGGAGATAAAATCACTTTTTCAAAAACCTTCTTTTGGGAGCCTCAAAAAAGTTTACATCATCCAAACTTATTTACTCTCTATGCTAAATGTGCACATACTCCTGTTACTGGAAAAGTAAAAACGAAAACAGCTTTCAGTTTTGCACAGCTTGACACAGTCAGAACATTTCTTGAAAGCAACAACCTTTCCCAATGTGCCTAGAGTCCAGTTAATCCAGTGGTTTGTGATCCCCTTCCTAATGAACTGGCCTGCAGCAGGCTATTCATAGGAAATCAATAGACATTGCATTCCTCTGCTTGTGACTGTAATGATTAAAGAGCTAACAGCAGTGAGAGAGACCTAACAGTGAGTAATGAGCTAACAGAGGGACGCTGTGTATCGAAGAAGTCATGTCGAAATACAAAGTCAACTGTCAACTGCTTTTGCTCCCATGAAAGGATCACGTCTGCCAGTTACTACTTCAGGATCGAAAAGATAACAATATGAAGATTGAGTTCGAAATGAAGAGAATTTGTTCAAGGTAATAAACCAATGTGTACCCAGTATTCTCTATCACTAAATTTGGTCTGCCGGTGGCAGGCTTAGGCAACCAGCAGCGTGCTGTCCATCAGCGGTATGAGGCTCTGTGTGTGGGAGATGGAGAGAGGGAGGGGGGTTAGAGGGAAACAGGGTAGATTAAGATCACCTTTCCATTTGCTGCACTCTGAAATGAAATGGCCATCCCAGGTGTGTGGGGGAGTTGGATGGAGAGAGGAGGGCAGTGGAGTGTTGAGGCATCTCATTTCTCTTCCCTATCCGCCCTCCTGTCCCCACCAAAATCCCTAGAATAAAAAAAAAAAGTAAAGGGAGCAGGTGACGATTGAGGCCAGTCCCAACAGCAAAAATGCTTGAAATATACATATTTCTGTGTCGGCTTTTCTGTTTGTGCATCTGTTAACGCATTTTGATGTATAAACTGAAACTCCCACCGTATCTATGATCTCAGGTTCGCTATCTCCAAGTCTGCTGATGGCTATCAGCTCTGTGCTGATGGGGGCAATAGCAGCTAGCTGGAGTAGAAGGATAAAGCCCTGGGAAACCAACCCTGAACAGACTACCTTGATCAATTAGAGGTGACAAACTTCTCTAGAAAGCCTCTGACCTTCTTAGACGAAACGCTGACCTCATTTACTAGTGACATCCACGCCTATACACACATGTGTAGAGATCCACACATACACACACACACCACAAAAACCCAAAAAACAAAACCAATCAGCGAGAGGAGGTCTCTGGCTCATTCATTCATGCCCTTTAGCTTAATCTTACCTGTGCTGTGAGTTCATGTTCTCCCAGCAAATGCAAATGTGAAGACGGATCCTGATTAACACTGCCTCTGGGTGTTTGCTCACACAACAATGGAACACATTTTTTTGTCAAAGTTAAAGTTAAGCTTAAACAAACCCATGAAACCAGATTTAGTATCTGGCTGTGTGTACTCATCTCTGTTTTCTCTCTCATCTCTCTCTCTCTCATGTGCGCATACTTGCACACATACACACGAACAGCACACACCCTGAAACACACTGTAACAGACGGCCTCGCCAATGCCTTGTTCCCATGTCGAGCGCCCAGAGCAACTGGGTGCATCTGTGTCACAGAGGCTGGACCTGCTGCCACGGGCAGGGATGGAAGAGAGATGGAAAAGGTGGGGAGGCAATGAATTATGGGAGATACATGAGGAAGTGTTAGGGAAGGTGATAGCAAGAGAAGTGAGGGAGGGTGGGGGCTTGTTGAAGAGTGCAGAGTTGCTGGCAGGAGCCATGGTTAGGGAAGCAACCAAGGGGAGTTGAAGAGGTTGAGGGGGGAGGGTGTTTAGTGGGGAGGAGGAGGGGTGGGAGTCAGAGAAGCGAGAGAGGGTAGAGAGGGGATATGGACCCGAGCCAAGGCCCGGTCGAGCGCAAAGCACACGGTGCAAGAATGCCAACAGACCCCCCTCCCACCCGGTCCTCTACCAAAGAGAAGAGAGAAAGAAGAAGAGAAAGCGAGAGAGGGAAACTGAGAGGAAAAACATTTCAAAATGCAGCAAATCAAAAACAAATGATTAACTAGTGTTGTATATGCAAATGCACAAAAAGGACAGAGCTGTAGGTGATGTGAGATGAGCATTTCCTGTGTTTGGCCTATTGTGTGCCGTTGGCCTCTTTGCCGCGACTCACTTCCCTCTTCTGTGCCCCTGGACACCCCAATGTGACACGTTGGCCTGATAACCAGCCTACAACTGCTAGCTCACCAGCATACTCCTCCGCTTCCTCTCTCTCTCTCACTCAGTAAAGCAAATTTTAGAATAGCAGTGAGCTGACTACAACACTCATTAGACAGGTTACAAAGAAAATGTTTGCTAGAAAAAGAGAATTGGTTGAGTGGCACTTGTGCATACCCTGGAAAGTGATGGTCTAATATGTTTAGTAGAAATCATTCATATCTTCTTTGGTAGCAGTGTAGACACAATAGAGCCACAGCTGAATCACGGCTGACTTTCGATCTCAACCTCGGTCTGCTTCATGTTAAGCTGTGTCTGTTCATGACCTCATCTCGTTGGCCTCACTCTGGTCTTGGAGCCCATTCACATAGTCCCCTGCAGAGTTACAGCTTAAAGAGTAACTGCACCAAGAAAAACAGCCATGCTTGGTGTGGTCAAAGGTTCAACAGACTAGAACCTTAAACCCACAGAGGTCAGTGCTGCCCTACAAAGACAAAACACAAAAACTGCATATTTAGTCAAAACCAGAATCTGACTTTTTGACATCTGTTTTACTGTATGAAAAATAGTAGCCAACACCATAGAAATTGGTGTTTTTGAAAAATAAAACAAAATAACAGCATGTTATATTTGTAGGAACTGTAAAACAGAGGTAAAACTCAAACCGCTACCCGTAACCAGCTGGAGTGCAGCCACAGTTAGCCTAGCAGAAGCTAATTTACCAACTTTTTCTGACCTGCTTCCTGCTATTAAAAAAAATTATAAATGTTATAATATTTTAGTAATTACGTTTGTTATACCAGATTAATGAGGCAATAAATGCAGGCTTATAACAGAGAAGAAAACACCAGTTAAACAGGTCCTGCTAAAAGCTAGCTTGGATTGCTTTTGGATTACCAGATTGTCCAAACACAGGTGGGCAAAATTGCATAAAGTTAAGGTTTTGCAACTTGTATACTTGTTACACATTTTGGTTAAGTAAATGTCAAACCCTTTTTTTCTTAAAATACACAGTATGTAGTTACTTCTGTATGTATCTGAGTGCTGTAATGCTTCTCCTCCACACAAGATCTAATGCAGAGTTACTCTTTAAGAGGAGGAAGTGAAAAATGGCTGACTGGGTGTTTTCTTCCTCTGTTCAGACAAAAACTTGAGATGACCTCTAAATTTGATTAATGCCTATTGTGCACTCACAAGAGATACATTAAACACCAAACCTCTGTTTTGGATCCTCATTGGATCCTACATTTCCCACAATGCAACC